AAGCATCCTACCCCTGGAGTATCTCTTTGCTTTGTACAATCTGTGCTTTGAATTACCATGATGCAGTGGAGGGAGCGAGCAGAGACACAAACTTTTCAGGGTGTTAGGTCCAAGGCTGTATATGATCTGCTCCCCTAGTACAAGGAAGAAGCATAAAAATGTTAACTGCCTGTATATACCGTAGTTATTTCTGGAAAGTACAGTAGTGGTTAACACTCTTGCCTTGCAGTGACAGGGGGACCTTGGTTACAATGGAGTTTGCATGTCCTCCTTGTGTCTGTATGTTGTTCCTCTGGTTTCCTTCCAAAATCAAAATGGTAGATCTGTATTGATGCTAGAGTGCATTTATGCAGTGGGAATATTAGAATGTAAGCTCTTGTGGGGCAGTCACCCATGTGAATGCTTCTGCAGAGTACTATGTAATATGTTAAAGCTGAACTCCAGATATAACTTTTTTTTATTTCAGTCGCTCACTCGCCACAGTGGCCATTCAGAGAATGCCTAGTATTTTTTCATCAATCAGTACTAGGCATTCTCTGATTCGATGAGGGGTAGATTGTGACATCACAGCCATTTGTCTAATAAGAGAACGCCTTGTATACATTGATAAAAATAATAGGCATTCACTAAATGGCCGCTGTACTGATCCCTGTGGGCCGCTCAGAAACAATATATGCGTACTTACATTGGGCCAAGCTCTTCATGTCCATGTTTCAGGTTGGAATTCTGTTCATTATATTTGTTACTTTTTTATACAAAGGTTTTAACTGAACCAGTGTTACTTGATCTGTGGTCTGATGCAGTTACCCTCTCTCCAGTTTGTTGAGTCAATGTTTTTCTGGTGAGCGTAGAAGCTGTTCCCTTGGCAGGTAGGATATGTAAATGTCTAGCTATGTGGCAATGTATCTTTAAATAGATATGGGAGTCAGAGTGCAGTCATTCTAGCAGTGTGTGAACTGGAAGAACTGGGCTCAGCTTGCTCTTCTCGCTCTGCTTGTCTAAATTACTTGACAAAGAATACAACCCGAAGGAGCTTCATCTCAGTCTTACTGGAAGTTATGTTTTTATTCTCCCTTGAATAGCTTTGTGTTTCTAATTTCTACATGTCTGGGCTTGGTACAACATGTCGTTCCACACTGGAAGGTAACTGGACCCATTGCAAAATGGTGTTAAAGGCCAACTACACCTGAATCGGATATTTCAGTTCTGCATGGCTGCTGACTTTTTACATGGCTTGAGGACTCTATTGGGAAGACATTCACATTGAAAACACTAGTTATATGCCAGTATTAGGGTCTCCTAAGTGGAATCTAAATATGAAAGCGTGACTCTTGTGGGAGGGAACTGAACTCTTTGACACATATATTTAGCAGGTGATTCAACCAACCCACCTCTGCCTGCCTTAAGCTAAAATATCAGTTTCAGGTGCCATTAGCCAAGTACATTCCAGGTGCTTACAGTTAATTTTGTTTAGGGAGCAGCCACAACCTGAGGAGAAATGCCTGCCTCCCTCAGATTGCTGTAGAGAAGGACACTTGCTCTATGGTGGAAGCAGTGGTCTACAGTCTCTCTACAGTGGTCTAATATATCTCCTACTCAGAATCAGAGCTAGAGCTCTCCAATCAGCAGCTTTGTTTATGGGAGAGCTATAGGTCTGACTCATCAGGGGTGTGTAGGACTTCTGCAGAGAGACCACTGATTTCCCACAGAGAACAAGGGTCCTTCTCTACAGAATGCTGAAAGAGCACAGACTTTTCTACTCAGGCAGTGGCTGTTTCTAAAGAAAATAAACTGCAATACTTTGCACACCTTTTGTTTTGATGCTCCTGGGATATATTTAGCTGATTTAACCTAAAGGTTCAGTTGAGCTTAAAAGGGTGATTGTTGTAACATTGACACAGAAGCATATAATTTTTAGGCTCCCTGGCTCTTTAACATCTACCATAACGTGAACCTGTGCTTTGGCCATGCAGGGTATAGCAACAGGTTCACTTTAATGATGGCCACACCTGCAGCTTATGTTTCACTTTGCTCCCCTAATGGTCCAATAGGTTACCAGGAGCAAAGAAATATACCTGTACACGTGACTTACTCCACGTGCTTCCTCTCTTCAATTCCTAAGGTCAAACAGAGCAGCAGGGTATTGAAAAGAAGGTAAATGTAAGCCTTTGGTGGGTCCACCATTAAAATATATGTAACCCCAATATCCCATATAAGCTTTGATGGCTAGTTCACACCAGCCCGATTCTGGACGAAACGCACTGGATCGCAATGTGATCGGGCCGCACGGGAACGCAAGGCACATAAATGCTGCAAGGACTATTTTTCTGACTGGACCGGAACGCAGGCATTGATGTGCCACGTGTTCTCGTGTGCCGGATCACATTGCGGCCGCAGGGTGTGGCTGCGGTGCCATTCACTTCAATACATCGCCACGCCCCTTCTCGCCCCAAAACAAAGTGAGCCGGCCGCAATGTGATCCAGTGGGTTCTGGACAGCATTGGGCCGGAGCGCACTGTGGCTGGTGTGAACTAGCCCTAAACATAAAATTCAGAAATAATTTTTAATATTTGTAAATACACAGCTTTCATTAAATAATAGCTGATGATCCTGCCATAAAAGTCCTTGTTCATGCACTTCCTGTTTAGGGTGACAATGCGTTGTCCCAGTCTCCCAATTTTTTCTTGCACGTTCATGCAGCATTTTTGTAAGGAGGTTACCCTTAATTATTGGATCTTGCTAATTAGGTGCAAAGCCTGCTTTGAAGTGAACCTGTTGCTTTGCCCTGAAGAGGCAAAGAACAGGTTTGCTTTAAAGGGAAAGTTCAAAGTACATTCACCTCATGTAATTTCCCAATGACTGTACAGACCTGATGGAGATAAACCAAGCTCCCACCATGAAGCCTACTACCCTATGAAATGGTCTTGGATAAGAAAGACAGTACTACTGATTGAAGTAGAGGTGGAGTTGGCCGTCGATTTATATTTCGCAGGATGTCTGTTGCAAAATTGACTGATTATGTTGTTTTTAAGGAAATAATTCAGGTTTGACAGCAGTTTCTGTAAATATTGGCAAAAGAAAAGCTTGCTTTATTCTTGACTTAGGCAAACTTTGAGGCCCATTTACAGTCTTGGGCTTTGGACGAAAGGTGGCTCCACAGAAACACAGTGATCAATCTAATAATTATCACAGGTATATGCAGGCACCAGTCCAGCTCAGGCTCACAGAGGCTGATCGAGATCTTGTTAGCACAATATCAATTTTCTGCATGAGTTTCCGTGAGTTATTCTCAGTTTGTTGTGCGATAATGAATTCCATACAAGGCTAGGTTCTACGCTATTTATACATAGATTTTTGCCTGGTGTTGACATTGTACGCTGACTAGACACGTCACCGACTGTGTCATTTCACAGATTTATTTCAGTCGTTCAGTGTTAAAAACAGAAACAGTTCCTACTTAAACAAGACATCCTCTTAGTATGAGGAAGCATGTGTAGCTGATAAGATTGGCATTAAAGGGAACTTTTTCTTTGCCCTGCAAGGGCCTACTTACCCTTTGTCTTGTTCCTATAACCAATATGGACATGGTAACTATGTATAAGCTTTTGACATTACTGTCACAACACTCCTATCCAGGTTTGGAGCTAGGGTTGCCACCTGACTGGTATTTTACTGGCCTTGGCATTAAAAATGCGACTTGTTGCCAATAGTGATGTGTCTGGACTTGGTTTGAACTTTGGGTTTACCTGGGTTTGCCGAAAGTCACTCAAGCTCCCAGCCCAATTAGTGGCGGCAGTTGCATCGGGACATTCCCCACCCCTTTGTAATGTATTGCTGTGGGGCTGTGAATTTAGCTGCCGCAACTGATTGGCCCAGGATGGCGGTGTGGCAGACTCCGTTTTTGTGGGCTTAGGCGAACTTGGGCAAACGGGTTTGCACCAACCCAGGCTCATCACTAGTTGCAAATCTTATTAGTATGAAAGAGACCAAAAGGCCAATATTTTGTCCCAGTGGAGGTGGTAACTGGTACTGGCTGGTAAAAAATGGGACATGCAAACATTTTTAATAGTAAAGATATTAAATTATGAGGCCGGAATTTTCCCCAGAAAATGGCTAATCTTATTTGCACCATTAAAACAAGAAAATGTTGTGTGTAAAGGTGATTGGAGCAGAAGGGTGTTTTGGGTGCAAGACATTGTGTGCCTATAAGATTTAGTGATGGAAATTTTGGCTCTGCTGTTGCTATTAAAGCTGAAATTGGAGTAGCATGTCGGGGGTCTGTGCTCAGGACCGGTGGCAGTCTGGACTCTCCCATCCTCCTCCTCTAGCAAAGAAGACAGAGCAGGAGTCCCAACCTGAGCTACAGCCTCACATATACACTGATGAATCACCCTACAGGCCTGGGAGCATGTATCACCAGTTCTGTAAAAGACTGATGCTGATATTAACTTATCAATGGCTTGGCCAGATTGTAGTATTTTAACTTATCCATAATAAAGTGCACTTATGCTTTACACAAGCCTCATGTATACATAAAAATAGGCTTAAAACCCCCTAATCCCACCCCTCTGATCCAATGCTTTATAAATTAGTCAAACACTTCTGTTCAGGGGTACCCTATAATGCGATAAAAAGTACTTCTGAATGTCAAACTCCACTGACGAAGATCTTCCAATATGTGAGAACCTGTGGCTAAACATAGTGTCATGGGTGGCAGGCAGATGCCTAGCCACCAAGTGTGGCCTATATTTGGCTAACTTGATTCAGTCATGCTGTATAAAGAGTGTGAGGCAATTGTTTTTAACCTTATTGTAGTCAGCGCGGTTCTGATTAGTTGACATGGGTTACTGAAATTTGTATATAATCGCTGCATTTTGTACTTTATGAAACCCGTAAGTATCTTTGTTGCCCATAGCAAACAGTCAAATATCATTTATGTATCACTTGTTTTAATCCAGAAAGAGCCCAGTCTTTCAACCATTGCCCATTTCTTTCCACAGATCCTATTTTGCACCTTAAACACGCACAAAATCGACATGGACAAACTTCTAGGAGGTCAGATCGGCCTGGAAGACTTCATCTTCGCTCACGTCAAAGGTTCAAAGAAAGAGGTGGAAGTATTAAAATCGGATGATGCTTTGGGGCTGACCATCACGGACAATGGAGCTGGTGTCGCTTTTATAAAGGTAAACAGGGCGTCCAAATCATCGCTTGCATCTAACTATGCCATCTGGCTAGAATTTTATCAGCCTCCCCGTAAAAAAGGGACGATTGCCAGTTTTAATAATGACAAGAAAAGAACAAGAATGGGTATTTTTCCGAGAAAGGGTGGCAACCTTACTTGCATCATGTGTTGTTATTAGACTTAAGGTCTTACATAACAGCATTGCTTCACAGCAAAGTAGTAACGGATACATGTTGTAAAAGCATTTACACGTTATCTGCCTTTATTACCAGAAAATATTTATTGTATAGCAATTTCTCCATCTTGTACTCTTTGCTCTGTACGTACAAATGGTAGGTAGAATTAACACACGTGACATTACAGGTGAAACTCGAATAATTAGAATATCGTGCAATAGTAATTGCAGTGAGTGCTGCAAAAGGGGCCCAAACCAAGTACTGAGTACATATGCATGCTTGTACTTGTCAGAGGTCCGATATTGTTCTATGTACAATCCTTGTTTTATTGATTGCATGTAATAATCTACTTTTTTGAGGTTGTGGATTTGGGGTTCTTGGGGTTTTCATGAGCTGTAAGCCATAATCATCACAATTATGACAAATCACGGCTTGAATTATCTTGCTTTGCATGTAATGAGTCTATCTCATATATTAGTTTCACCTTTTAAGTTGCATTAGTGAAATAAATGAACTTTGCACAATATTCTAATTATTCGAGTTTCACCTGTACTAAGTCGGGTAAGTTAGCTTTGATTTTCCACATTTTCCCCGCAGAAATGTGTAATAGTTAAAGGCTTGACATTAGCCTGCCTTATCCACATCAGGTCATTATCTCAAACTGGGATGGATCCAGCCAGGTCAATGATTGTCCTTGCCTGATGACAGTGAAACAGGCTGTAAAAGAACAGCAATTACACACACAACATTACTGACTTATCCTAAACAGTTTTCAGTAGCCATTTAAAAGGAAAGAAATTAACTTTGGTTTTTCAAGCAAATTTTACCTAAGCAGCTAAAAGATCAAAGCAAAGTTTACGCTTTGGCGAAATTTTGTGTAAAAACTTTTTATTGCATAATTTAATTACATATACATTGGGCCAGCCTTATTTGTCCATTACATACGCAAGCTCTGCTTCAGTTGACCCTGATGCTTTCCTTGAAAGTGCACCTGTAGTGTTGAGAGAAATGTGCTTCAAAGGAGATATGTAGGGAAGATGTTATGCCTTCTCCCTTATTTTATGTTGTCATCATTTTAGGGGTATATCTGTAAAAAAATAAGTCAAGGCAACTGGACTTGCTGTATTTTAGACAAAAAAAATACAGCAAGTACAGTTGCCTTGACTTATTTTTTACAGATATACCATGACCTGGCGGTATCAGTACTGTTACCAGAGTTTAACAAATTCCCTCTCTGTTTCATGCACTTGTGATTCCTTCAGCGAGCACTTGATTTTGCCATTTTGAGGCCTGTCGGAACTATAGTAAATTAGACACTTCTAAAATGCTTCCAAAATGGTTCTCAAACACATCCTGATTGCCTGTATAACAGAGTGTACCCCTTGAGTATGCATCGCTTGCAGAATGCAAATCAAAGCACAGCGATACAAAGCCATTCAAATGTTTGTCTCAAATGCGAAAGTGTACTAACACTATGCCCCTCCGCCCCACCCCACCCCCGCCATTTCTGAGATGAGAAGGAGCATGATATTACAGCACAAAATATGTAGGCAATGGACACATCTCTCTATGCTCCCAGTTACGTGGCCCATGAAGAATTTATGGAAATTTAATCGAAAGTCACTTGCACTCAAAATTGATCCCAAGTCAATCTCTTTATTGACTATGGTAGTGTTACATCTCAAAGCTTTGTGACAATAAAGAGATTGACTTGGTATCGATTTGGTGTGCGAGTGACTTTCTATTGTATTTACATATGGTTTGCGGAGGCATCTGCTGTCACTGCTGCACCCACCTTGCTTTTGGGTTTCTTTCCGGTCAGGACTGTGAGGGGACACACTTTGCCATGAAGAATTTATACGCACAAAAAAGATTGGTTAACCCACAAGTACTTTTTATTAACCCTACATTTCCTTTATACTGGCTTTTCAAAATAAAAATTGAATAATTTAGAGGTTCGATGAATGTTCTAGTGCACTAAAACACTTTTGAATACATAAATCAGCCTTTCTCAATCTTTTTAACAATGAACGAACCCCTTGAAATAGTTTTTAGGTATTAGGTAAACTAAAATTATTAAGCCAACAGCTCAAAGTACATTAGTGTGATCAGTAGGTTGTAAAGACTTTTAAATAAAAGCATACACATGGGGGGTACTTAATAATTACGAAATGAACCAAATAATAAAAATAGCCAGAAAAGAAACACAGATAGATTGGTCTTTGTAGATGAGATCCCTTACATTGTTGGCCACTGTAGAAGGGTTCCATTAAATTGGTGGTCATTGTAGATGAGATCCCTTACATTGGTGGTAACTGTAGAAGGAATACATTACATTGGTGGTCATTGTAGAAGAGATCCCTTACATTGGTGGTCACTGTAGATGGGATCCAATACACGTGTGGTCATTTTAGATGAGATCCCATACATTGTTGGTCACTTTAGAAGTGACCCCTTTACATTGTTGGTCACTGTAGACGGGATCCATTACATTTGTGGTCATTGTAGATGAGATTCCTTACATTGTTGGTCACCGTAGAAGTGACCCCTTTACATTGTTGGTCACTGTAGAAGGGATTGGTAATCAATGTAGATGAGACCCCTTACATTGGTTGTCTCTGTAGAAGAGGTCCCTTGCATTGTTGGTCACTTTACAAGTGCCCTTTTACATTGTTGGTCACTATAGAAGGGATCCATTATTTTAGTGGTCATTGTATATGAGATACCTTACATTGGTGGTAACTCTAGATGGGAATAATTACATTGGTAGTCATTGTAGAAGAGATTCCCAACATTGGTGGTCAGAGTAGACAGGAGATCAACCTGACACTGTTCTCTACTGAAGGCAACCTCTGAAGGAAGCCCAGGGCTTCATGAACCCTGGTTGGGAAAGGCTGAGCTAATAAAACATTTGTATTACCAGTCTATACAGCAGACCAAAAAGACAACTAAGAAGGAAAGTAGGACAGTTCATCTAAAGAACAGGAGTTATGTAGCCAAATCACTTATCTTTGCAAGACATTTTCAAGACTAAGCATAGGATTTAGGAAGTCTATGAAATGCTTCCGAAATTCTTACTGAACACCTGCTATTAGCCTTATGTGAAAAGTATCCTTAGATCGTTTGGTAGCAGTCCTGTAGCTTGGAAGATGGGCTTCAGTGCAGGAGATGAGCCAAGATCCAAAAGCTTCAATTCTGTATCTGCCACAACTGATTGGGGCAGTGGAGGAGCACTGCTAAGAGTCTCCTATAAGGAGAAACTGTTGCTTTACCTCAAATGGGCAAAGTACAGGTCACTTTAAGATAGATGTATGACACATCATACTCTAGTGCATATTCACACTGTCAGCATGGGAGTGCTATATATTGTAGTTACATATGTTTGCAGCTGTGAAAGATTGTTGTACTACAACGTCATTAATAAATTATAGAAACATTAACAGGATCTCAGGGATAATAAATCCGCATTAACAAAGGAAGCCAGGACCTGTCTTTCCACAAGCGAGTCCATGCCCTGCTTTGCTATTCAGCTCCCGTGACACATCTGTCAGCGCCAGCTAGGTGGGTGTTAACAGACTGTTCAGCACAATTTCCCCCTATCACTTCCTCCAAGTGATTCCTTTCAACCGCAGAAACATTTTAATATCGTCAATCAATGATCTGTTCGTTCAGCTTAAAGTACATCTAAAAGCTCCTGTATAAGAGTCTAAGCAAGTCCCACATCCAGGTACTATGTGATGCACAAGCCTCATAAAAGAAAGAAAAACTTTCTTCTGAGCTAAATGCTGCTTAATTTGTGTCTCACACGCTCCGATTCCCAGACACTGCAGCTCACAGTGGGAGTGTTTCAGCAGCAAAGGCAATGCTGTCATTCCAGAAAGCCGAGGGCGGGCAAAGTATGACCAGGGGCTGATTGGCAAGTTAAAAGCTTGGGAATCAGCAGTGACAATGCTGGGTGCTATGCCCCCTGCAATATATTTTTCTTCCTAATGTAGTGCAAGATAGCAAAGCTTACACGAGAGGGGCAACTCTGCTCTGAATTCAAGAGCAGTGCAGCATTGTTACCACCCCATCACAGGAAGCTGCATTAGGCAGATTTCACGGGCAGGATCAACAAGTATTTGTGGGACTTTGCAGGGGCACTAAGGGAACACTATAGCTACAGATGTACTTAAAGGAGAACTATGAGGGGAGTGATTTTCACTCAACCTCATAGTTCGAGCCGACGTGTGGCAATGTCACAGGTCGGCTCAATAGATCGGAAAGGGAGCGAACACATACGGTCGCTCGCTTACTTCTCGATCATCTCCCTGCAGAGAGCGGTGACTGACGCTCACGGCTCCCTGTAGGGATTCCCCCCCCCCGTCTCCGATCCTCCATCGCTGACTGGAGGAACGAACAGGGGAAAGGGCGGGTACAGCTGGCTCTGACTCCAGATAGGCAGAGCCAAGCCAGCTGTCAATCACGCAGCTGTGTGGATCTCGACAGTAATGTCGGGATCCGTCCCGGCTGCGGCGGTCTCAGTATACAGCGAGCTATAGCTTGCGGTTATATTGAGCTTTGGGTCACGGGAGGACGCTAGTTTATGTCCTCCCGTGACCCTGAGGAGAACTTTGGGAAAAAACACTTACCCCATTGTTCTCCTTTAAGATTACATGCTGCAGCAATTTTCTTTAATAGGACCATAGTCTTAATTTAATGGAGATGGCCTTAAACAAAAGGAAAGAAACATTCAAATAAAACCATAGTGGGAATGATCATCAGCTATTACATAGACTTCTATCGGGCTATGTTCCAAGGCCGGAGACACTCGGAGATGGTCCCATAGAAGTGTAAAGAGCTGTAATGTGCATGCACAGCCAGGACATTGAAGACTTGCTGCACTGGCTGTAAACAAACAAGGGAACAACAGCCATTGAATCCTGGTAAGTATGCATCTTTTTAGGGAGTGTTGGGTTAGGTAAGAGGGCAGAAGGGATAAGTGCACATGAATTATCCTTTAAAATGACAGGAAACAAATTTTAAAATGACTTAAATCTTATATGAAATTTTAGTGATTGGGTTACATCTACGGTAAGCTGCCATTTTTCTTGTGTGTCATCTTTTCACCATGTGCTCAGTTTGAACTGTTGTGTTTACAATTTGCATATATTCCATCTTCTGGGCCAAGGAAAACCTCAAAGTACGTGCTTCTGATCATCTCATGTAAAAAGCTCCAGGTTGCATTTAACTGAACTCTAACCTATAGAAACACATAAATTGTATTGGGTACAATGATGCAGACTTGTCCTTGTGGTTTCTGTGCTCAGAGACCCTTTATCCAAAGTAAATTTGCACTGAAATAAGTACGTAGGGCCCATTTTCACTGTTGCGGTTTTCTAACTGCAACAATGAAAATTGTCCCTTTGTATTTATTCCATTGCAAATTTCCTTTGAATGACGCCCTTTGGGATGCTCAGAGATAATGATCATCATCATATACAGTTTTAATAACACAGATGATTTTCTGCCCTTACAGTGACGCAGTTTTGGTTCACACTCTATAAATACCATGGTGAAATAAGTGCTAGGAATCCCTGCTAAGATTATTCAGAGAGACCTGCGTTTTTCGCACTTCACATTTCTCACGGGCCCTAAAATAATTTCCTAGCCATCTGCGCAAGCTTCCTTCACATGTATTGAAGCTGTTCTCCAGGGAGATATTTTATACACAATTTCATGTAATTGTGTTTTCCTTTAAAATAAGTAAATTTATTTTTTACATGCAGCGAACATAAGTACCTTAGTCTATCTGGCTATCAGCTTCCTGTCATCCCATGCACAGCAGCACTCCGACTGGGAGAGGCTGGGACTGCTATCACTGACCTGCTTCTAGTATTCCTAGTTGCCTGGCTATATTTGGCTTCAATATTTTGACTTTGACAAGGTCTGCCAGCAGAAACGTTAGTCAGTAAATTAAAGCAAAAGGAAAATCTACTTAAAGTGACAGTAAAGATGGTTTAATGATCCTTTAAAAATTTACCTTAAGTGATCCCTCGTGATCCGATCATCTCCTTCCTTCCAGTAGTTTTCAGCAGTCCCTCCAACGCTGGTGCCGGTCTCTGATCCAGCGCTGACTCCTGTCTCTTCCTGTCCCACGAAGTCTGTCCAGCGTGCATACTCACGGCTGCGTACATTGATTTACAGTAATCTCTCCTCCTCTCCCCGCCGGTGATGTTCTCTGCGCATGCGCTCAAACACATCCTCCTGCACGGCCGCTCGAGAACCTGGATTCTCCAGCCAGGAGCGAGCGGCAGAGACAGATGTAAGTTTTTACCTCTTTGGTAACTTTTTTTATTTTTTTTTAATGTTTTGCCTATATCTACTGCATATCAAGGAAAAAAACAAGACTTTAATGTCACTTTAAATAAAAAAAAAGACCCCCCAGGAGCTTTTAGCCATAAAATTCTAGATGCTTTACCTAGAATGGGTATAGGATATTAGTATTGGCAGTCTTACCTGCTGAAGCAATCCCCTCCAGTGCTGCATTGATGGCACTTTCCTCACGTGCTGTCATTCCCATGGAGTCCTCCAAACCTTCCTGGTTTGGAGTCTTCAGCCACTCGAATGGCCGGGCCCGGCTGACGTAACTCCCATGCATGCACACGGGACTTAATGTGTCTTGGCAAGGAATTGTGCCGTGACTTTTAAAAAAAGACTGAACTTTTGCTTTGTGTACTGAGGCCACTGGTTAAGCATGACAAGAAAATAACTAATAGTTTCAGAATAACAATTTGGCAATTACAGCCTGAAATACTACCTTACTACAGGTTGGCTTGATGGCTGCAGGGTTGGCAACAAGCACGCAACCAGTGAAAAATCTAAACTTCCACCTATCTTGCTTCCAGCCCTGGAGCATGTATCTTTAAAGCAGATCTCCAGGATTTTCAAAAGTTAACCCTTGCAGTGGGGCTACCCCCACACTGCAAAGGTTAGCGGCTTGTTTTAGTCTAGGAAACAACACAGAAGAAATACTCACCTGATCTTCGATCCTGACTGCTCGCCTCTCTCCCCCTCCTCTCTGTCCCTTGGCGTACTCAGTCTAATGCAAGTGAATGGACCTTGCATAGGTGGGATGGCGTCAGCGGGGATGTAGCGGGGGCTTAGAACACCAGAGATCAGATGGGGCTAAGTATATGTTCTTTTTTTGCACCCCTAGACCAAAATGAGCTGAAAACCCTTGCAATGCCGAGTTAGCCCCACTGCAGGAGTTAATTTCTGGAAGTCCTGGAGTTCTTCTTTAAACAGGTCAGCAAAGCCACAAGCGTTGGCGACTGCAGGAAATGACAAATATTCAATGTGCAATCAAATTCGAATCTGAATGACCTATAAATATACCTTAAAACCTGTCATATCCCACCAAGGTTGTAGAAGCCCCACCCCTTTCATTGCTCTCCCAAAATGTATCTCCAAAAATATGTCATGTGATCTTATATATTGTATTTCTTGTCTTGCAGCGAATTAAAGAAGGCAGTGTCATTGACAATGTGAAAATTATCAGCGTCGGGGACCACATAGAATCTATAAACGGGAAGAATATTGTGGGGTCACGCCATTACGAAGTTGCCAAGATGTTAAAAGAGCTGGAAAAGGGACTGTCGTTCACCTTAAAGCTTATAGAACCTTTAAAAGCTTTTGGTAAGTTTGATTTATAAGCAGATAATGTCCTTGTGCCAGCCAATGGTAGTGTACACATTTTTCATCTCACCTTATTCCCAGGTGCTTGATGTGATGCAATCTCAATTTCTCAAGACTCCATATCCCATCATGCATTGCTCCCAGCTAGCAATAATGTTACATTGTTCAGGAGTTGAGTTGTAGTTCAGACGGCAGGCTCTGTGAGAAGTGAATATTCACCAGGCTGAGTGAAATGGTGTCAGTGCTTCGAGGAAGTCCATCCTATGGGCATCTTCAATAAGCAAGTTTACAAACTTTTAGATGGATATGGTTGTTAGGAGAGGGAGAGAACTTATGGAAATTCAATATAGAAATACATACTGTATTTATTTTTATTTTTTGACCATAGATACCCTTTAATGCTTGTGAGTCTTCAAATATCTGGTCATTGTCAACTAAAAGTCTCAGCATGTAGTGTCAGGTCTAGGGCAGCTGGAGCCAAACCCAATTAAACTCAGATCTATACATTTATAATGCATGTCTTGTCACGGTTAATGCACGGTTTGAATGCATATTGACGTGCACCTTCAAAGGGCGCTAATATGCATAAGAGGACCTGTACTCTTAGCAAATGGAGCCTGCCATTGCTGATCTTTCCTTTTAAAAAAGCTGGTTGCCTGGTTGTCATGCTTTTTCATTGGTTTTACTTTCAGAGACAGGGGCTCACTATACGTATATAGAATAGAAGTGTCCACTACCCTCCGACCCACCTTAGTTTCTCTGGGTCTGTGATGCAAAGTATTTCAATTCAATGAGCCGATCCGCCTGTGTACTAGTTGTCCTTGGACTGTCCATGGAGCACTCATGTGAACAAGCCCAGTGGAGTAACTATATCAATAGCAGCCCAGGTGGCTGCTATTGGGCCTGGGGGTGGAAGGGGGCCCCATTAGGTTGTTGAGGCAAATGTGAAGATAACACAGTACTGTATCATTAAGGGTTGGAGTGCAGTTGACGACAACTCTAATCCCCTGTAAAGTCTGCAGTGTACAGACGACTTCAGATGCACAAGAGGAGTCTTTGGGACCATGTCATTGATAGTCACAGCTCAGAGAGAGGTCATCGGAGGGGGAGGGGGGCCCAATAACATTTTTGCTATGGGGTCTGGTGATCTGCAGTTACGGCCCTGCATCTACCCATTGATTGCAATGCTGAGGCTTGTAGTCCCACACCAGTTGGCGAGCAGCAGGCCTGACCTCATCTGTTGTAGTCAGTGGCTCACCCAGTGACCTCTACATTGTCATCTCTCTGGTCTCTGGCGAATGTGCGAGGAAAGCGGCATACATTTAGTGAGCAGAGTCACTGGTAAAACGATACAGGCGGAAAGATGAGACGGGGAATGGATAGAGAAGATACTGCCGAGTGTAGGCCTGATAAGTGGAGATGGAGTCAGGTTCTCCATTGTGGGGGAAGGAAAACACAAAAGATCAAAGTTCACAAAAACAGCACGAGGAGAATGTCCCGTCGCTTCATTCCAATCGTGTAGCAGCCGTGCGACTGTTAAAGTGAAACTGAACTCTTATTTAAAGCTAAGGCCTATTCTGCTTATTATTTTCCTTCTCAGGTTCCTCCCCCACCCCCTCCCTCAACATGCTAATGACATGTTTACATTTTTCATTATATACTTTATTTTATTCCCAGTGATGTCATCAATGGGTCTCTGTGCTTCTCTATGTAATGCAGGCAGCTCATGGCTGGTGGGAGGGGCCAGCAGGGTGCTTTACATGGCTTCCTGAAAACATCACTTCACCTTGCCTCAGTCCTCCTCTCAATAGCCCTCAGCCCTGATGCAAGCAGTTGGCTGGCCCTTGGGAACAGTTATGCAAATATCAAAATGCCTTGATGGGTAGATATCAGTTTGGAGGATTGGGCATTCCCAGAAAAACTGCATTTCCATGCGTAATGCCCTAGGAAACACCCACATGTGATGCTGAGCCTCCATGATTAGAAGAACTGGAATCCAATGAGTGAAAGGGGCAGACCAGAGACAGTCAGGCAGGGGAGAAAATCGCTAGCTGATGCTGGACGTCCTCCGGCCAGGATAAGAGGTGGGCTCTATCTGACATCCTGCAGCTTCTAATGCACATTGTGAGACGATCACAATGTGCAGTGAAATCAGAGGAAGCCATTTCAGTCCAGGAGAGGAGCTGGTACAACTTTTCCTTGCTTTCTCCCCTCACTGTCTGTCCTCGCTTTCTCCCCTGGCTGTCTGACTTTCCCCTGGCTGTTTCTTCTTGCTCTCACCTGGCTGTCTCTGCTCATCCTCTCCCCTGGCTGTCTCTCCTCACTCTCTTCCCTGACTGTCTATCCTCGCTCTCTCTCCTGGCTGTCTCTCCCTGCTTTCCCCCCTGGCTGTCTCTCCTTGCTGGCTGTCTCTATAAGGGGGACCCCATGCAAAAACCACAAAAAAGTGGGTTTCCCCTTCACATTGAAGTCCTTCCTTTAAATCAAGATTTCCTCAGCTCACATCAGAGTCACCCTTGGCATCAGTAGCCCCCCTTTCACATCAGAGTTCCCCTTTGAAAATCCCCCTTCACATCATTCATCGTTTCCCTTTCACATCACAGTGCCACTACCACAAACGTTTGAGGAGGTCAGGAAGCATACCAGTGTGGTACGGCACCCTGGTTGAGAAAGGCTGTTTTAGCATGTAGGTGAACCTAAAGGTGCCTGGACTGCACACATGTACAATAGCAAACATCTGACAAGCCATGTTGCATATTTATTTCAGGTTCTCTACTAGGCTACTCTGGAACAGTAAACTTTCCCCTCCGTTGGAGGGGCTAAAATTTTGCTTGCATGGGACAGTAGTGTTGTTGTGAGCATGGCCTTAGATAGTGGTTCAATCATTACCACTAATGGAATGCACTAAAGTTTCAGGTGGGAGGTTCAGGAGGAGGGGGGGGGGGGGGTGTAGAGAGATTGGTGGGCAGTGCACAGTCTGGGTGCTTGTGTGTATCTGTCTCTACAGATCTCCAATCACCTCCCTCCTTCTGAGATATCATAATGGCAATAGGACCAACAAAAGGCCTTGTGTGGGCAAAGATAACATTTAAGATTGCATTTTAAGATACTTCAGAGTTCCTTCTGAGCTGTTTTCATTCCGTTGACTTGTATGGAGAGAAAAGCATTTCTGAGGCAAACAAGTGACGGTCTAAAATGACCAAACTTATGAAAGGTAAAGCTCCTCGAAGAACTTAATTTTCAGAAGGGTCAAATGTCTTGTAGTGTGAATAACTCATCAGCTTCTTAGATTTCCTGGGTGGAGAGATCTTGGGATGCAAGTTCTGTTAGGAACTGTTATTTGCTCTTCAACCAACGGCCCTCTGCTGTTTAGGTGTGTCCATGCCATCTAGTGGTTGAAGTAGACAACACAGCAAAGACATACTGCAAGCAAAGACTTTTCGTTTAAGGCTGTGACACACTGCAAGAGAAGCAGCGCGGAGCGGTGGTGCACGGAACTTCACGTGCAGTGTGTCATGTCATTTTCACTCCGGCACGTCAGCTTGCAAGAGCTCACATAGCTGAGCGTGCCAAGATGAAAAATAAACCAGTGCGTCACAATTAGGGTTGCCACATTTTCTTCCATCGAAACCCGAACACTCTAGCGATGCACGGAATTTTTTTTAGGAGAAAGAGTCGCTGCTTATTCATATGTAAATTGCGCCACCCATTCATATGTAAATTTCACATTTAAGGCAATTTTCAGTGGGGGGCCAGTAGCCTCTATCTTAATTTAGGTTGCTCCTGTCTGCCTGACATCTTCTGTCTGGGTTTCAGCTGCCATGAAACCCGGACACAACATTCAAAACCTTGACTGTCCGGGTGAATCCTGGACAAGTGGCAACCCTAGTCATGATGCGAAGTCCATTCGGTTACGTGCGAGCCAATTGGCTGAAGATGCAGTCTTTCATCTGGCCGCGCTCAGCTCACACACTGCATGCGAACCTCCGTGCCTGACAGCTTTACTTTGCTCTGCACGGCTTTGCATGCAGTGTGTCACGGGGGTAAGTCCTATAGCGTTTTGATCCCATACATTTCCTGGTTGTCTCTTTTCCAACATTGCCTTGTCTTTTGGATCTCATCTGTCTGACTGATGCCTGTTCTTTTGCTCATTTCTGATTGGCTGCATGTCCTGACATATACTTGTGCCATGACTCTGCCTAGAAGCAGAATGGCCCAACTTTCATTTTTTTTTTGCTGTTGTTTGATTATGGGGTGTTCCTAGGTAAGACCATATGCTGCTTACTCGGTGTGTCAAGAAAGCATCATGCTTACTAAACTAGTACTAGTCAGCAGACTGATGACCAGGTCAGGCACAGGCAGAGTCCAGTTAGGCAGACAGAGCACATACGGCCAATATCAGATGTAACAAGTTAAGCAGAGACAAGCTGAGTATAAACAGTTCACTACGAAATCTAAGGCTGGCCATACACCTACCTATTTTTTTCGTTTAACCGAAAAAATAGGCCCGATTCCTCTATCAACACAAACAGCGTGTCGATCAAGAATCCGACTGTTTACATTGTAGTCTGGTAGGTGCCGACGGCACCAGTCAGAATACCCGATCAGAGCGGGCAGTTAATTGGCTCATTGGCTGCCTGCTCTGACCGTTCAAAAATTCTCCAGCCGGCTCCTTCAATCAGCTGACCGAGGGATGCCGGTCGAAAGAGAGCCGACAGCCCCACACACTGTGTGAATTCAAACATTGTATGAGCACCTTGAGACATGGGCCGTCAGATAAAACAGAAACAGAAAGACCTCCATTTAGAGCATGAACAAAACTATTGATCAGGCAAAGGCTGAATTCCCAGCATTCAATTTAACTCTTCTTGATTAGGGTACTAGGTGCGCACAGCGAAGACCGGAGCTGCAGTGCTGTGTTAAGATCAGCAGACAGAGAAAGCTTAAAGGAGAACTATGGGGTCAGGGCTTTTCCCCATAGTTCTCCTTAGGGTAAGGGG